TTCTTTTTTTCAATCCAAAGGAATATGGTTGCAATGGATGTTCCTACCATCGCTGAAAAGCTTTTCCCAAGAGAAACTCATTAGGAAGATTCTGAAAACGGTGGTGCCAAAAACTGCCAAAAGTGTGTTATAGTATCCATATCTAGGGGGTTCTCAGCTACGGATGCTTTGTGCATCTCGCGGATTTTCACAGTCACAGCTAAAAGGGTAGCCATCAGATTGATAAGGGTAACAATGAAAAATACGAGGACCGTTAGTTTAAAAATAACGTACTCATGAATGGGATAATCTTGCTTCAAAAAGTTTAACCTGCTGTAATTTAGAAATCCAACAGTTAAAGTTCTAGGAATATAACTTACCAAAGAAACTTATGACCCTCGATGAAGAAGATTCGATAGAGGTGAAAAGCCTGCTGTATCAACACAAGGCAATAGTGAGGGGAGTGAATTTAGAAACAAATGTGAGCTGATATAAGATTGTCTTGCAACCAGGCAACTGAGGAACAATCCGAAAAGCAGCTCTAAAGATGGCAGTGAAAATACATAGCGAGACCAGCCCCAATATTGTTAACTCTTCTGAAAAAGGGAAAGCCGTATCCTTCTTGCATTGATATGCGGTGGACTGGAAGCAAGCAACAGCACGAATCATGTACAAAATTACCTCAACTAGTTGCTATAGCAACAACAGACTGAAGGGCACTGGATGACACGGTTCTCTTTGTCTTTAATTTCCGACCTCACGACTTCTAAAATGAATGAATTCGCCGCCTGAATCCGTTCGTTAAGGGATTTAGGAGTTACAATAAAAATAATTCGTTCGCATCAATATTTTTTTTTCAGACATTTTCACAGGATGCCCCATGAGGACAGATCAAGCCAGCTTTAGTCTACGATTTACATTTGCACAATAATTAAATGAATATATTATGAAAGTACTCGATAAATATTAGAAAATAAGTTGTTTGAAGAACGAAGGATAGTTCACGAGATAAATTCGTCCAATCACACAAGTAGGGCTTATAATTGCTCATTGTTTGTACTTTTGGGGCTATAGCTGTGGTTGTTAATTCATGGCTTCCGCTAATATCGCTGATAATATCCCTAAGATTTCTGCTAATTAGAAAGTAATAAAATACCTCATCCTTGCATGCCATTTATCAACTAATTAGAAAAATAGCATTTGCCAAATGGCCCAATCTCAGAGGGAGACNGACATACGTTTTGCACAGACTACGTCAGAGTATTTACCCATCATTACAGAGTTTAACTACTTTCTATTGCTTGGAAAAGCGGCTGGATTCATTAGTCTATTCATAAATTGGTGTCTACACATCTTCATTTGAAGTTTAACAATCAAACTGGGGTATAAAAGCCATGGGTTGTTCTGCGTCGAGTAATAACAGAATCGAAATAGCAGTTTCAGTTGCTGCGGCATCATCAGCTTCGAGAATCAAAGAAATTCCGCTATCACACGAACAAAAAAACACTTTGAGAGAATTTTGGAAGCTCGTTGACCCGGTTAAGAGCGTCATAGGGAAGAATATGTTTAAAAGGTTAGTGTTTTAATTATGCGCAATTTCTGGTGGATTGTGTTTAATTCCATTTCATGAAAAAAAATGAATGTAGAGTTTTTAAGTTGACATTAGTTTTTTATGCAAAGACCATACCAGTTTGAGGCTTGGAATCGTTTAAAATGGAGGAAAAGAGAAAACGGTTTGCTTTCATTAGCTAGAAGTCAAGCTAAACGTGAAAGTAACTTAGTGGTGTCGTCAAATCCAATGGTACGAATTCCTTGATATAAAGGAACGTCTTAAGCGCGATTATTCCCGTTGACTCCATTTCTTTTTGTCTTCTTCGTTCCACGTTCACGATAAATAGATTTTACAATCATAACCTCAATTTCGATGGATGATGTACTAATTCATTCATTTGAATTGTCAGTAAACATTACAAGTATGATGTTCAGTCGGTGATGACCATGGCGTCGATGAAATACAGCGTTAGAGATAGGCATCCCATTGAAAAGCTTATCGTTGTTTAAGTTGTTCAACTAAACGTGAGCAGAAAATGCAAATATAAGTGTTCACCAGCCGAAATAAGTGCACCTTTTACGCCAAATTCGTTTCACGGTTTTTTAACAAGGTTTACTGACGTTCACTTAAAATGGATCTACATTTAAAGCGTGTTCAAGTATTTTTTATTTTAATTTATCATGTCATAAGGTCACCATTAAGTCTTTCAGTGGAGCCCAAATCTATAACAAGACAAATTCGTTCCTGTGTGAAACGTTCAAAGATTTATATCATTTGAAAAATGAGACTAAGAAACGAAGCACTTCTTGAGGAACTGAGAACAATAATTTAAAAGTTTACCAACAGGATCAACAGCTGTTTTTTTTTTTGGCTCTTTTTAATCGTGTAAATCACCTCTGAACTGATCAGGTTCAAAATAATTTTCACATTTGTAAGAGAGAAGATTAGTCATCGTAGAGATACAAAAGAGTTTTCCAAATGCAAAAAGCTCGAATATCACGCATTAACTTTCACAGCTACTACCGATGAATTGTTGATGGCTATTATTGCAGAAAGAATTTGCCTACTTATCATAACGTGTTTTATGTCCATTAAAAGGTGCCACCTGTTGTTTGTTTATTCCTACTGTATAAAGAGATAAGTTACGTTTTAATTAGTGCTGTACTT